TATGTAATGTATGTAAGGTATGTAATGAATGTAATGTATGTAATGTATGTATGGTATGGTTGCAATGTATGATACGTAATGAATGTAATGTATGTAATGTATGATATGTATGCAATGTATGGCATGTATGCAATGTATGGTATGTAGGGTTTGTATGGCATGCATGAGAGAGATTATATATATATGTAATGCATGTAAATGTAATGTATGTAATGAATGAATGTGTGTTATGTATGTACTGAGTGTAATTTATGTAATCACGAAAGCTAGCGTGAGCTAGCTGGAGTCTTCTTGCTTTAGCAAGTATTGGGGGGGCTGCTCAAGGACATCACGTGATTTTTCACGCGAAAGGGGCCCCCCCCCTCCCCCACCACCACCACCATCACCACCATCACCACCATCACCATCATCATCATCATCATCATCATCATCGTTATCATCATCGTCATCATCATCGTCACCGTCATCGTCATCGTCCTCTCCATCGTCCTCGTCCTCGTCATCATCATCATCATCATCATCATCATCCTCGTCGTCATCATCATCATCATCATCGTCATCGTCATCGTCATCGTCCTCGTCATCGTCATCGTCATCGTCATCATCATCATCGTCATCATCATCATCATCCTCGTCATCATCATCATCATCATCATCATCATTCATCATTCATCATTCATCATTCATCATTCATCATTCATCATTCATCATTCATCATTCATCATTCATCATTCATCATTCATCAATTCATCATCATCATCATCATCATCATCATCATCATCGTTATTCAATTACATTTTATCATTATTGGCAATTATTGTCATTATCACGAAAGCTAGTGTCAGCTCGCTAGAGTCTTCTTCCTTTAGCACGTATTCCGGGGCTCCCCAAGGACATCACGTGATTTTTCCCGCGAAAGGGCCCCCCCCTGCCCCCTCCCCCATATATATCATTGTTATATATCATATATCAATATATCATTGTTGCATCCTCGTTGGGACGAACAATGCCGCGACACGATGATGACAGTCCCTCCGCAACTCACCTCTTCCCTTCCTTCTTTCTCCTACCCCGCTAGCTTTCGTCATCCACCCCCGGCCTCAAGTGTATAATGTAATGCAATGTAATGCAATGCAATGTAATGCAACGTAATGTAATGTAATGTAGTGTATGCGGTGTAGTGTAGTGTACTGTAGTGTAATGTAATGTGATGTGATGCCAAGTTACGAAAGCCAGCCGGGAAGCTGGCTAGTTGTTATTTGCGAACGAAGTGTAAATAGGGGGTCTGGGGGGGGTAGTTGCTTCAAGGGACTGAAAACGTCGTAAATAGGTGGTGCTTTAGGCGCGGAAAAAGTATGGTGTTTCAGGGTAATGTACCATGCGGCAAAACAGTGACGGTGGGTATCGGTTCCCCCTAGGTCCGGTTTTCTTGGGTGAAAAGCCTGAGGGTGCAAAGTCTGTGGGTGAAAAGTCTGTGCAAGAAGAGTTTCTGGGTGAAGAGTCTCTGGGTGAAAAGTATATGGGTGAAAAGTAAATTGGGGAAAAGTCTGTGGGTGAGAAGTATATGGTTGATCCGTCTGTGGGTGAAAAATATATGGGTGAAAAGTATGTGCAAGAAGAGTTTCTGGATGAAGAGTCTCTGGGTGAAAAGTCTGTGCAAGAAGAGTTTCCGGGCGAAGAGTGTCTGGGTGAAAAGTATATGGGTGAAAAGTATATGGGGGAAAAGTCTGTGGGTGAGAAGTATATGGTTGGATCCGTCTGTGGGTGAAAAGTACATGGGCGAAAAGGATGTGCAAGAAGAGTTTCTGGGTGAAGAGTCTCTGGGTGAAAAGTCTGTGCAAGAAGAGTTTCTGGGTAAGGAGTCTCTGGGTGAAAAGTCTCTGGGTGAAAAAGTATATGGGGGAAAAGTCTGTGGGTGAGAAGTATATGGTTGATCCGTCTGTTGGGTGAAAAGTACATGGGTGAAAAGTATGTGCAAGAAGAGTTTCTGGGTGAAGAGTCTCTGGGTG